AAAAAAAAAAAACAACTTTGAAAGAGTAGTTCAACATTATAATCAATTAACCTAAATGACACTGACAGCCATTACCAATAGCTAACAGTTAATTTATCAGGCAGCATTTCCCAAATTATCTTGTATAAACACTAATACTGTGAAATATTTCCCACAGAGAAAGTCTTATGTCAAGTAATTTTGGGAAATACCTACTTAAGTAAAAAGTCTAAAGTGTTAGCATAGCATTTGTCTCTAAAAGTGGGGAGGGCAGGGAAGCACAGAATATGCCTCTAAGTGCCAATCAGTATTAATAGAAACAAAAATATCAGGAAGTATAAAGTAGTCATGTAGTTAATTAAAATTCCATTATGTTGCTGATATTTTCAATAAGATCTTTATCTATGACTCCTGTTTGGTTTTTTAGAAAAAAGAAGCAAATTTTAAATCTGGAAACTATTCTGACTATATACTATATATTCAAACTATGGATTTCAATTTATAAATCCCAGCTCTATTCAATTTGTCCTTGGTTAAGTATTCTGAAGTCTTGGACAGGCTTCAGATATGCAAAACCAAGGGTCTACAAGAAAGGGTATAATAAGAAATTATTTAAAATATTACGGGGCTAGAAAACAGCATAGATACGAAAAAAATAAGGGAATAGACAATTCATGTGAAACTAATTTACAAAAGGTTAGGATAAACATTCATTCATATTCACAGCAGACCTGGTTATCCCAAGGATTTTTATAATACACTTTACCTTTTAGTGATTTTAAATTATGATCTCCAAAAACATTTGACAACATCTGATAAACAATAAATATGCTCTCACTGAATCTAAGGTACAAGAGAGAACTTGAATTCTAATTTATGACTGTTTAAAGAAAGGATAAGCCATCTTAATGGCTTTAACTTTCTCCTGAGGAAGGACATCCCTACAATTACTGAGGTCATATAGACCCTTGCCACAGTGTCTTCTAACTAACACTAGATATCTGTTTACACTGAAAAATGAAATGGTCAGAAAGTCAAATTGCAAACCACAATTTTTATGTATATGAAGAAGACAAGCAAAAAGTGGCAATTCATCAAATTAGGTTAATTCTGACAAACCTTTTATTGGAGGTGATAAGAAAAAAATCTTCAAACTGAAAGTTCAGAGATTTACTCAGACTCCTTCTATTGCCCTATAAACATTCCTTGAGATAAGGTTTGAAGATAAGGTCAATTTCAAGTTCACAGGCTTCTACAAATCTGAGTGTTAAACAAAGTACTTCCAATGTTTGTGAACTAAGTAAAGAAAGTCACCACGGCATCATCATATCATGACAGCAGGATAATGGGCACACTTCCTATTTTATGTAAACTCATCTGATCTTCCAACAACCCTACCTCACTTAAATACACATATATTCTGGTTTATTGATTTTAAAAAAAAAGGATGATATATATATATACACACACACACCTTCTATAACGAAAATAATGTGATTTTATACAGTCTTGGCAGAAATTATTTAAAATATGTAAATACACTGATTTCAAAAGAATCTGAAAGCTAAAGCACTCAAAATAACAAAACAACACCTCACACTTAATATAGTGCTTACTGGGCCCTCCCTGGTGGCACAGCAGGTTAAAGCACAGCACTAAGAAGCTAAAGCTGCTCAGCACCAGTTCAATCCCCTGCCAGGGAGGTGACTCATGTGGTGGAGCAGACCTCTCCTGACTCCCAGCTGCCCCCTCTGCAGTATATTTCATTGATCTGCCTATTGTGCTCCCTGCTCTGTCTGGTGCATCCTCTCACTGTCCCTGCACCTCTGGCCTGTATCCCAGTTCTTGAATGCATAAATAAATCGACCCACCCTGGTGGTGCAGTGGGTTGGAGTGCATCACTGTGAAACTAAGCCAAACTGTGCCTTACTTCACTGTGAGTTCAATGCCCACCCTGGAGGTGATCCACCTGGTGCAACAGCCCTCTTCTGTCTCACTGGCTGCTTCCCTCAGCAGTGTACTTTGTCAATCTGCCTGTTCTGCTCCCCACTCTGATTTTGGTAAATCCTCTAGCAGCCCCTGCACCTCTGGCCTGTACCCCATTTCTGTATGCATAAATAAATATTTAAAAACAAATAAATCATAATATATATATTATACATATATATATATATATATAATGCTTACTATGTGTTGAGTACTGTTCTAATACTTTATATAGTTTAATTCATTTAGTATTCATGACCACCCTTTGAAGTAGATCAAGAAAAAGGCAGAGAACCTAAATAACTCCATGTGCTCAGCTACTCTGAGACAGAGCTGGATCTACCTGGCAGTCTATTTCCAGCCTATGCTTCAAAGCAACACATTCTCCTGCTCTTGGAATTCATGTGAAAAGCTTTTTAAAGGGAAAAACAAAATTAGACAATCAGTCAGAAAGCTTTGACTAGAAAATATTATGTTAACTATGTATTACTTGGAACACAAAAAGCCTGAAAGTTTCGGGCTCTCCCTGGTGGTGCAACGGATTAAGGCGCGTATTATGAGGCTCTCCGAAGCCACTGCAGCACAAGGTCAGTTCGGTCCCCGGCCAGGGAGCTGACCCACATGGCTTGGCAGACCTCTCCTGGCCTGCCAGCTGCTCCCCTCAGCAGTGTATTTCAGTCCATCTGCCTGTTCTGCTCCCCACTCTGTCTGGGGAATCATCTCACCCACCACACCTCTGGCCTGTACCCCAGTTATATAAACAAAAATAAATAAATCTTTAAAGTTTCACAGAAAGTAGCAGTTGTCATATGCTTTTAACTTTTCATATAATCCGTTACATCTTTAAAAAATGACTAGAACCCACCTATTAAGGAATTGCTCAGTAAGATTCTGCTGCTGATCAGGACCATCTTCCTGACTGACACCGCCTTCGAGCAGCATCTGTTGGTACATCTGCCGCTGTTGCTCCTTCTGCTCTAAGTGTTGTTGAAAGCGTAATCTTTGCCGATAATATTCTTGAAATTGTTCTGTTGAGTCTCGAAGCTTAAAAATAGAAAAAATATATATTTGAGTAGACTATGATTGAATTCATGTCCTTAATAGTTACTGCTATATATGCTGAATAAAAATAAACAAGTAACTACTTAACAATTAGGAAATACTTTACATATTGCTCTTTGAAAAACAATATACCAACTGTCCATGATGCACAATATAATATGCAATTACCGGAGTTCTGAAATATATAGTATTAATATTTAAACTGTAGTCTTTTCTATTATAACCTGTTTAAATGCTCCAAATATACAACTACAACTAAAAACTCCATGTATTCTCTAGAAAGAGGGGAGAAATTAAGTCAGCCATAATAAAATCTAGATATTCTCTCTCCTGCTCTCAAATATTAGAAAAATCCTTTTAAATTCTATCCAAGCAACACAACTACCTCTTACAAGAAGAGTAACTCTAAAAGGCAATACAGCTAATAAACTGCCTCATTTTTACCTCATTTTTTTCTTGCTTAGCGGGTCCTGGATCCTGGGCTCCATTTGCAGGCTCTTTTTCTGAAACTGAACTCTGGCCCTGGACTTCACTAATAGGCCTCTGTGTCTCAACAGGTGTATCACTTCTTTCAAAAAGGTGGGGAAAAAAATAAGAGTTGAGGGTAGAGGAAAATATATTTCAGCTAGAAAAATTTTAATTTAAAACAATGAATATTTAGCATATTATTTATATAAATTGTATTCATATAAATATTATTCACAGCTATTTATTCTCACACATTCATTTATGAAATGTACCAAAACTGATTCTTTCTTTTTTTCTATTAAGAACACTATATAAAGGGTTTTGTTGCTGTTGTTGTTTATTGTCTTTTTAAATAGAATGTGCTTTTAATGGAAGATTACCAGGTTATTAAGCAAGGAGGCACCCAGAGTAAGAGGTAGAAAAGACCTGCGAAGTTTCGGTTGCCAGACAGAACTGTAAGCAGCCGATGACCATATAAAGCCTCATTTTATGTTCATAAAGCAGAACCTGTAGATGGTATTAATTACATTGAGATAGAATAAAGCAACCTTCAACAAGTAACATTTAATTTTTCAATTTACACATCACTGACATAATTTCATTTAATTTGCACAATAACCTATGAAATAGGTTTCAAGTTCCACTTCAAAGATGAAGAAACAGACTCAAAAAACAATGATCTTTCTAATGAATAAAAGTAGGACTTGATCCAGATCTTCAGACTCCAGATGCAGTACTGGCCCAGGCCTAAGAACACTTCGTTTGCCATTTAATTTTGAGGCCGTCATACTGAATAGCTAAAACTTACAAATTTCAACTGATTTATCTTTTGAGGTATTTTTTGGATTCTCTAAAATCCATACACTCCTTTATAAACCATTGTGTTTTCTCGTATTTTTATCACAGTAACTCAGTATTGATCCCCAGCATGCAGCATGGTGTTACATGAATACACACTAAAACACCTACTTCAAAAATGTACCACCACAGGTATCTCTTCATGTGGCATCGATATTATAATTAATCCAAGCAGGCTTTTCAATATTTTTAAATTACATTTAAATTGTTTTTTCAAATAAGGTAAACTTTCTCCAAGTTAAATTTTAATACTTTATTCATGGCATAATAACTATCCCAGAGCATTTTATTAAAAATCCCTTTGACAAACTGTACTTACCAAGGGGATGAGCACCAAAGGGAAGACATTTATATTTATTTATTACCAATCACCTACTTGCCACTCTGCTAGGATGTTTATCTCACTTTTATAGAGAGAGTAATTAAGGTGCAGAAAGATTAGGTAACTATCCAAGGTCACATAGCTAGTAAATGGCAAATTTATCCAAACCCAAGTTTGACTGCAAAGACCATATTCTTTCATTATTCCTCATTACTTTGTCTTCTAAGTTTTGCAGGGGCATGACACAAGATTTCTGGGTTATTACTATTGCTCAGCTACAACACATGTATTACTACTAGTGTTACCTCAATTAAATTTTATTTTTTTAAATTTTGGTAAAGTTTTAAGGGCTAACTCACAATGAAAGAAACTTGAACATTAAAAGAAGTATGCACACTAATTAAATTATCCAGTGTGTGAGGTAACTTATTGTGAGGATCTTCTAATTTTTAAGAGTAAATACTTACCGTTCAGGGGATTCTTCATAAATACTGTGACATTCTGTATTCTCAAGCATGAGACTTCTACTCAGATTCTGAACCCCTGGATAATGGAAGTTAGCAAAGGAATGCGACATTGGAGAAGTTTTGTTTCCAAGGTCTGAAATTCTCTTATCATGACTGGTTAGTCCACAAGTGAGGCCATCCAGAGCAGGATTCAGAGAGCGGGTCATATATGCATCTGCTGACTGGGGCCTTCTCATGGGAGACGATGGATAGGGAGAAAGTTTGCTGATAAGAGGAGTCAAAAGATCAGCATATGCAGCTTTTGTGGGCTTCAGAAGTTTGTCAACATGAATATTAAGCATTTTCTGTTCAAAAGCACAAGAGAAGACAGAAGATGGAAGGTTCTGAAGCCATGACAATAGACTCAGATCCAAATCATCACAACCATTACCACATAAGAGGTCAATGCCAAGAAGTACTTCACTTTCTGTAATTTCTTCTCCAGTTGCTTTACTTTGACAAAATTCTACACAACATTCATAAAGCAGGCCCTTCATCACAAGCTGAAATAAACGATTGTTACTTGCTTTAAAACCAGCCTCACTTAGCTTCCTATCAGCAGGGATGAATTCTGCAACCATGACACAAGCCTCTTCAAAACAGTGGACTCGTGCAGTGCTGGGATTCCAATCCTTAAATTCAGCATGATTGGTCAGACGAGGCAAAGTCAAAAGCAAACAGAGCTTGCTATAATCATCTTTAGAAGGACAGTACTCTTCTAAGGCATGCAAACATTGCACAGCTTCTTGCATGGTAAATTCCAACTGTAAGAAAAATATGTGATCACTCTAGAGAATGCTGAGATACCAACTCAATGAGAATATTTATTCAAACACAAAAATATTTCACAAAGTTTCAGAAACAATTTCAAAACACAAAGCTAAAAAACAAAAGAATGATTCTCAAACGCAAACTTGCCTTAGGACCAATTTGTGTAGGAAAAGAAAACAAATCAAGAAGAGAGTTATCTATTGCTCGTTTGCTACAAAAACAGGAGGACAAAAAGAAACTCAGCTGAGAGACAAATTACAACAACTTGTACGGTGAATACTATCTTAGAATCATAAGCTCTTAGTCATATGAGGAACCTTAGTGCTTGCATAGTCCAATTTCTATATCTTATATACGGGGGAGGAAGAGGGTACAGATTTAACAAGTTAATCCAGTTGGATAGTGACACAGAAAAAGAATTAGGTCTTTTGACTAACATTCCAGTGGTTTTTCCCACCTTTGAACCTCATCATCTGGCAGCATCTCTACATTATAGATGAAAGTCCCCACTGTAATATCCTTTAGGTTTACTCCAATGAACATGCATTGACATTTAATAAAAGTTTCCTCAGTTGTGGTTGTAACAAAGCTAATAAAATTGTAAAATAATTCTAATAAAAAATCATTAAATTCAAATTGTCATAAGAATATTTTATCAAAAACAACCACTAGATCAAAGAAAATACTAAAAAGACAGAAAGAGACGTAAGCATAATAATCTACTTCTATTGTAAGAAAAAAAGCAATGATGTAGAATCTTCAAGTTATATACCTACTGCTACCTAAATCATCTTAAATAATAAATGTGAACACATCACCTATTAATCATCCACTCTTGTATTACCTAATTAAAGAACAAATTTGGAAGCAAGTTTGAAAGCACAACATCTGCAAAAGAGCAAATTTTGTCCCATCTTAGATCATAAAGACACTGAAATGTCACAACACTAATCTTTTTTCTTTTTTTCTTAATAGAATACTTATGACTGAAACAAGACTATGGCGCAAACCTTCAGGAATAAAAATCTTACATGCTGGGGTTCATCTTCTGCTGACATTGCATTGTTAACACATAAAGCTTCTAAAAACTTCTGTTTCAGGATAATATACCGAAACCTGTGAAAAATAAAATATTAAATATTAAAATGATACAAAGTTGAATGACAGTAATGTTAAAGACTGGAAATGAAACTCAAGTTCCTGAAGTAAAATAGGTGATTATTTCTCCAAAAAGGACTTTTTAAAAAAATTAATTCTCCAAAGTCAGAAAAAAAAATTTTTTTTAAGATTTATTTATTTATACACACAAGAAATGAAGTACAGGCCAGAGATGTTGGGATGAGAGGATTCACTACAGGCCAAGTAGGGAGCATAACAGGTGGATCTATTGAAACACTCTGAGCGGAGCAGTGGGTGAAACAAGAGAGGTCTGTCACACCTTGTGGGTTTCCTCTCTGGCCAGGGATCGAACTCATGCTGCAGTGACTGTGGATAGTTTCACAGTGTTGTGTTTTAACCTGTTGCGCCCACCAGGGAGGGCCCAAAGTCAGAAAATTCTTAAGATATTTTACTAATCCTCTCATCACATTTAAGCCATAGATATTTTCAGTAACAAGTAATCACAATTCTCAAAGGAAGGATTTCTATTTCCAATATTAATTCTTAACAAAAATCAAGTTTTTTTAAGATTTATTTTTATTTATTTATGGGGTATAGGCCAGAGGTGTGGGGGGGGGTGAGAGGACCCCCACCACAGACAAAGTGGGGAACAGAACAGGCAGATGTACTAAAACACACTGCTGAGGGAAGCAGTAGGCAAGACAGGAGAGGTCTGCTCAGCCATGTGGGCCAGCTCCCTGGCTGGGGATGAAACTCACACTGGCTATAGCTTCATAGCACGGAGACATTAACCCTTGCACCACCAGAGAGGATCTAATAAAAATCAAGTTTTTATGGAAGATGTCAAATGTCACATAGTATGTAATCAAAATCATTTATATTCAAAGTGCTTTGTTTTCCTCAAATATACACTTTCTTCTTTTTAAACATGAGAAATATAAAAAAAAACAGTGCTGAAAGAGTAGGAAAAAATAAATGACACTTTTAAAAAGTAATAAAGTAACTAGAAACTTAAAGCTTTTTTACAGGAATTTTTGACAGAGGGGGAGGAAAAGCAAAGAACCTACATGATGTGACTACCAGTCAAACAATGTTTGATGCCTTAAAGAACTTTAAAGGAATAGTATATATCTAAGGACTAAAAGAATAATAAAGATACAGTCATTCTTAGAACTACTGTTGTAGTAACAGGTATGTGTTCAAGCTAATATAATCCCTGCCTTCAGAGTCATCTAAAAAGTGAATGAAATATGTGCAGTGTCTCAGACCTTCAACGAGGCCTCAAAGGAGTGTGAAACTAATGCTATCTGAAGGGATGAGAAGTAAAAGGAAAATCTTGTAAAAACTAACTCTTGGCAGATGATCAGGAACATGCTATTTAAAGGAAGAAGATGGTGAAAGGGATCGTATTCCAGAGAAATGAAGAATATACAAAAAACAGAAAGGTTTTTTGTAGCATGGTATAAATGGAGAAACAAAAAATAATATGAGTGTTCACTTGAAGTAACAGTAGAGTATATATCTAATCATCTGCAAATAACAATTGTGAACACTAGATACAAGAGAAAACATATTTGAAAGCACTGAAGAACCACTTAAAGCTGGTACAATTGCAGACAAACCAATCCTTGAAAAGAGGAAACTTCAGAGGGCGAGATTCAAGGTACAAGTCTTCCCAGTAAAGGACACTCCCATTCCACACCGTATGAGCTAGATCTCAAGCAGAATATTGCAATCTCATAGTTGTGAGAAGTTGGCCAAAAGTTTTGGCTTGCCAGAGCAGAAAATCAGGGATAGACATGGTATGAGGCATCCACAAAGAAGTGAGCCACAATGAGAAATACACCAAAGTCTAGTGTATGAACTGTTCATAAATTTTTGGCTGTCTGTAGAGACACAAGGGAAGCACCAAGGAGCCCAAGGAAAGCACAGGTGGAAGCTAAACAACAGCAGAGACTGAAGCTCCTGTTCACCAGGGGTGATACAGTTTGCATTCTGAGTCTAACAAAGTTAACTGCTTATTAGAGGGGGGAGAGAGAGGGTACAAAATGGGGGCAGAAAGAGCACAAAGAACTAAGGTGACAGTGCATGGGTAAATTGGTGGTGGGAATTCTATGGGGACTACACCTGATATAAAATATATACAAATAAAGAAATTAAGTATTAAAAAAAATAGTTTGAGGGCCCTCTCTGGTGGCACAAGGGGTTAAGTCCCAGCACTATGGACCTTGCAACATTTTGTTTTAAGATCTATCTTTATTGATTTATGCATATAAGAACTGGGGTATAGGCCAGGGGTATAGGGGTGAGAGGATTCAGAGACAGAATGGGGAGCAGAACAGGCAGATCGACAGAAAGACACTGTTGAGGAGAAAAGCTGGCGAGACAGGAGAGGTCTGCTGTGCCATGTGGGTCAGGCTCGCTGGCAGGGGATTGAACTTGTGCTACAGTGGCTGTGGATAGCTTCATAATGCTGAGACTTTTTTTTTATTTTTTTTTTTATTACAAAGTTTATTTTTACATCATTTTGCACATTTTTTTTTCCATCTCAATTGTAATCCCCGCGGGTTTCCCATCACCA